CTGTCAGGGGAGTGCAACTCAAAACTACACAGATGGGGCCAGGGAGATGGCTCAGTGGATTAAGTGCTTGCCTGGCAAGCACAAGGGCCTGAGTTCAATTCCTGGTTCTGCAAAAAAAACAAAAACAAAAAACCAACTACACAGATTCCATCTCAGTCAGAATGCCTGTCATCAAGCATACAAAATATAATACTTATAGATACTTGCATGCCCATGTTTACCGAGATGCTGTTCACAACAGCCGTGTTATGAAATCAGCCTAGGTGGATTTTAAAAAAAGGTATGTTAATCAGTCATAAAGAAGAAAGAGGGGCCAGAGAGCTGGCTCAGTGGAATAAGCGTTTCCTTGGCAAGTGCAAGGGTCTGAGTTCAATCCCCGGTTCCACAAAAAAAAGAAGAAAGAAATCATGCTATCTGAGCTGGGGAGATAGCTCAGCAGCATAAGCACTTGTGCTGAAGTCGATTCCCCAGTACCAAAAAAAATCATGCTGTTTGCGTGAAGATGGAAAGGACTGGAGATCATCATGTTAAGTGAAATAAGCCAGACAGCAATATGCAGCATATTAATTACTGTAACTGTCCTACTAACGTGCTTTGAAACTGTCTCATTGCTGCTACTTTTTCAATAAAATTTTTTTTTTTTTTTTTTTTTTTAAAAAATGGTTCTTTTTTTTTTTCCCCTTTTTTTTTTTTTTTTTTTTTTTGGTGGAACCAGGGATTGAACTAGGGCCTTGCGCTTGCCAGGGAAGCGCTTATTCTACTGAGCAATCTCCCTGGCCCCTCAATAAAATTATTTTTTTTAAAAAAGTGAAATAAGCCAGACTCAGAAAGGCAAGTACTGGGTACTTTCTCCCATATGTGGAGGGGAAAAAAAGAGACGGAACAAAAATAGAAGGGAAACTAATTATTAAAGAAAAGAAGAGAATTAGGAGAAGAGGGAAAGGTAAAGGAAAGAAAAAAAATGTTATATGCATGTATGAAACTTACATCAAACCCATTCTGTATAATTAATATACATTAATAAAGAATAAACAACAGTCCCAATCAAAATTCCAATGGATTTGTTTTGTAGCTGTAGACAAACTGATTTTAAAATAAATACGGAAAGAAGAACAGAAATAGCCAGAACAATTTTGGAAAGCTGTTAGAACTAGAAAATGATAAAGGTACAATAACCCTATTAGCTCATTTTAAGAATAATAAAGGGGCTGGGGAGATGGCTCAATGGAATAAGTGCTTCCCTGGCAAGCACAGGGCCTGAGTTCAATCCCCAGTTCCGCCAAAAAAAAAAAAAAAAAAAGAAAACTTAGGGGGCTGGTGAGATGGCTCAGTGGTCTAAAGCACCTACTTAGAACAAGTTTAGCAAAGCACAGGGACTGCGGTTCAATCCCCCAGCACCACATGCCAGCCAGCCCCGCCCCCTGGTGGGCTGAGCTGGCCACACACACACACAAAAATAAATTTAAGAATAATAAAGCTAAGTAAGTGTGATTGTGGTGGTAAAATGGATGAGTAGAGCAGGATCAAAACTGGAACTAGAGGGGGCTGGAGAGATGGCTCAGTGGTCTAAAGTACCTACTTAGAACAAGTTCAGCGAAGCACAGGGACCACGGTTCAATTCCCCAGCACCACATGCCAGCCAGCCCGCCCCCTGGTGGGCTGAGCTGGCCACACACACCTCTCTCTCTCTTTCTCTCTCTCTCTCTCTAATAAATAAATAAATAAATAAATTTAAAAAAAAAAAAAAAAAAACTGGAACTAGAACCCTGCAATAAGCCCACTTAACTTTTGACAAAAGTACAGTGAGAATTCAATGGAGAGAAACTGATCTTTTCAACAGATGATGTTGGAACAATTGGAGCTATCTGTATGTAAGAAAAATTGAGCTAAATCTTGTCTTATACAGAAATTAACTTAGAATAGGCCACAAATTTAAGTGTAAAATGTAAAGCTATGTATGCAATTTACACAAGGAAACAGAAGGTGTTTGTGACCTGTGGCTGGGCAGAGCTCTTAGACATGACTCCAAAATCATGAAAGTTGTGAGGAAAAAATGGACAAAACAGTGTCATCAAAAACTAAAAGCTTGGGCCGGGGAGATGGCTCAGTAGAATAAGTGCTTCCTTGGCAAGCACAAGGGCCTGGGTTCAATCCCTGATTCCGAAAAAAAAGCTTGCTGTGCAAAAACAGTGTGAAGTCAGTGAAATCACGCACATCCACCCTTGGTTTTGTGAGATGGTCCTGCGGTAGCCCAGCCTGGCCTCAACCTCAGGATCCTGCCCCGACCTCCTGAGTGCCAGGATTAGAAACTTGCCACCATGCTGGCAAAGTGAGTGCGGTGATAAGCTCCAGTCTTGGGAAACTCGTTACAGATCGTCCAACAAAGAATTCTTATCCAAAATGTGTAAAGAACTCTCAAAACCCAAGAGTTAGGGAGACAATCCAGTTAAAAAAGGAAGCGTAAGATTTAGATTTTTGCTGAAGAGGATCTCTGGAATGTGAGTAAGAACATGAAAAGGTGGTCACCATCCTTAACTGCTAGGAAAGTGCAAATTAAAGCAATGAGCTGCGATGGCTGCTTAGAATGTCCAAATTAAAAACAGGCAATAGGGCCAGGGGTATAGCTCAGTGGCACAGTGCCTGCCTGGCAAGAGCAAGGTCCTGAGTTTGATTCCTGTACAAAAACAAAAGAAAACAAAAAACAACCCAGACAATACTACATGGCAAGGCTGCAGGCAGCTGTAATGCTTGTGCGCTGCAGGTGGTCCCACCGTGCAGGGAGAGTGTGGCAGTCCTTCTAAATATACATGTACCATGTATGACTCAGCACTCTCACTTCTAAGTATTTACCCCAGAGAAATGAAAAGTGCCATTTGGTCCCCTGACCATTACAGTAGCTCCCTTAGTAATTACTAGAAACCAGAAACGGTCCAGTGTCCCTGCATTGATGAATGGGTAAGTAGACCGCATCCAGGCAAGGCAAAAGGAACTGCCCTCATGAGCAAGCAGTTGATGCTCGCAAGCAACTCAGAGGCATGATGTGGAGCCAGAGAAGCCGGCCTCTAGAGGTTGTGTGCTGCCCAATTTTATTTATGTGCCCTTGTGGAAAAGACACAACAACAGGAGTGGAGACCAGGCCAGCGGTTACCAGGAGTTAGGGAGTGACTCCGGAAAGGTACACCGAGAAAAGTATAGAGAAGTTTTTAATTTACTACTTGTTAATTTTTTTATTTTTTTTTTAATTTTTATTTATTTATTTATGTGTGTGTGTGTGTGTGTGTGTGTGGCCAGCTCAGCCCACCAGGGGGCGGGGCTGGCTGGCATGTGGTGCTGGGGGGATCAAACCGCGGTCCCTGTGCTTTGCCAAGCTTGTTCCAAGTAGGTGCTTTAGACCACTGAGCCATCTCACCAGCCCGACTACTTGTTAATTTAAAAGTAACAGACTCTCACATCCTGCAGAAGTTGCTCCATGGTGCTAAGAACAGAACTACAGTGCTAAAATAGGTAAATGCAGCACACAAGCAATTAAAATAGAAAAAGTCTCTGAAGTGGCTCCCTGTCAGTATGTAGATAAACAGAAGAAGAAATGTACCACAAAAGCAAGCCACAGGCTATTTAAATATCTGAATTACAAAAGCCTACTAGAGTGGTTCTCCCATTGTTTTTGAAGGTAATTACCAGTAACATGTAAGAAATTGCACCCACTGATCATATTTAATGTTTCAATATAGTTTTTAATCATCTCCTTGAAATGGAATGTTTTTGTTTTTTCTGTACTTATGGCAGGGCCTACTGGGTGTTCAGGGTCTCACTACGTAGATTGGACTTGTAGTGATTCTCCTGTTTTCAGCCTCCGAAGTGCTGGGATTTCAGGTGCACGCACCTTACCCAGTCTCGGTCCACCGTCTCAGTGCACCCCGGGGGCAGGGCACAGCATACCGGGAGTGGAACCCTGGTTGCGCTCTTCCTAAGCAGGCGCTTTAGTCTGCTGAGGGCGGCCCTTGAAATTGAATATTGATCCTCCCAATTATCTTAATGTGTTCCAGTTTCACAGGGTGAGTGGCCCTGGGAGAAGCTTTGTGAAGGAGGCAGTGCTCAGGTGGGGCCAGGGGTGCAGAGGTTCAGGGAAGGGCAGAAGTCACACCCAGCCTTGCCTCAGAAGCCTCTTGGGGCTTAGAAAATTACTGCTGCTCAGGTGCACCCCAGGGAGATTTGGGACTTTCAGAGTCTCTGGGCCTGGGCCTGGGCCTGGCCTGTGGGACTAGCTCACTGTGACCTGTGAGCAGCCTGGTTGCAGTAGGTCCTGGGGATACAAGGGGAACAAAACAGGCACGAGTGGTGGTACCAGGGGGCAGTGATGACTATACCCAGAGAACTCAGATAACACAATTGCTAGACAAGAAGCAGGTGTTCTGTGTGGAGGGAAACAGCAGAGTGTGCCCCAAGCGGCAAGGCGAGGTATTGGCCGAAAAGGGTGTGGCCAGGGGAGATGGAGAGCAAGTGACCGCACCAGCACTGCAGACAGAGTTTGTCAGTGAGTCCCTTTGCCTGCCCTAGGCACCTCTCTGAGAATCACAGGCAGGAGCCAGTTACGATGCAGACATCCTGGGCTGTGCCAGATCCGATGTTCTGCAGTTGTCAGCAGTGTCTGGAGAACGCTTTGCATTGTGCAGCTAACCTCTTCAGGGAGCGGTGGGGCCACACACAGTTTCCTGCCAGGACTTCATTTATATGTGTGTTTGATTCATGTCATAACACAGCTGTCTCCTGAAAACCCTGTACTTAGGAATGCTGCCCTCTTTTCGGTTTCCTGGGATATCATGAAAACAGCAAGCCTTTCTGCATGTGTCTGTTCATATAAGCATCATTGTTTTCCGGAAAGAAGCGGACCGGTCTCTGTGAGGCTGTGGGTTTACTAGGTTCTTGCTGAAGAAAAAGCAAGGTGGGGTCTGCCCTGGGGAAGAAGGTGGGGTTCACAGTTGCCTGGTGTCCTTTCCCAGGAGCAGCAGCCAAGCTGGACGGATGACCTGCCACTCTGCCACCTCTCCGGGGTTGGCTCTGCTTCCAACCGCAGCTACTCCGCTGATGGCAAGGACACCGAGAGCCACCCTCCAGAGGACGGCTGGCTCAAGTTCAGGTGTGCATGCCAGTATTGCTGTCCTGGGGAGAGAAAGTCGGTTTGCAAGCAAGGAAAGGCTCTGAGCCTGCCACTGTTGTATGGGGCTTACCAGGGAAATGTAGCCCAAGAGAGGTAGTAGCCCGTGGTGTGGCCACATCTAACTTAGTCTAGGGTCTACTGCAGGGTAGGAAAGGGCATCCTAGAAAGTCAGAGCCAGGGGGAAACAATGGCTAAAGTGAGGGTCCCAGATGGGCACGTTAACTTCCGCTGCTGCCTTTTCCATCTCCCTCAGTTCCTTCCCTTTTCTCCCCTCACTTGTGAGCCCAGGCCTCAGGCCTCCTTATGCCTCCTCTGCTAGGAGTGAGAACAATTGTTTCCTATATGGGGTCTTCAATGGCTACGATGGCAATCGGGTGACCAACTTTGTTGCCCAGCGGTTGTCTGCGGAGCTCCTGCTGGGCCAGCTCAACACTGAGCACACAGAGGCTGATGTGCGGCGAGTGCTGTTGCAGGTAAGGGGCTTGGGCTGGCTGACCTTGACCCTAGAACTCAGCTATGGAAGTGACCAAGGTTGGTCTGAAGACTGCTGGCTTCTTTACCCAAAAGCAACAGTCCTGTCCCCAAAAGTCCAGGGCCAGGCAGGGTTGGCTCTGGAAGAGGTGCTGGGCATTTCAGCATCTGTTGGCAGTGGTGTTTGTGCCAGCCTCTGCCCTACCCTCTCATGCTAGGCTTTCGATGTGGTAGAGAGGAGCTTCCTGGAATCCATAGATGACGCCTTGGCTGAGAAGGCAAGCCTGCAGTCCCAGCTGCCCGAGGTAATCACTCTGCTTGTCCCTGGGAAGAGTTTTGTATAGCGGGTGGTAGTGATGGGTTTGAAGTGGGCAGCTTCACCCCAGAACTCAGCTTTGGGCAGGCAAAGACAAGTGAGAGGGGAGACCTTTGCTGCTCTTGTGGTCTGAGTTGGTTGCAGCCTCATCACCTACCTGCTCCCATCACCCACTGGCACTTTCAGGGTCCCCTGAGTTAGGTCATCACCTGCTTTTCCCAGGGTGCAGCCAGGCTGCCCACTTGCCTGTATAGCCTCACAGCCTTACTCCCAAGGGAGGGTTGGGGTTGCTGTGGGCCACCCACCCTGACCTCTGATGGTGGGTTGCAGGGTCTCCCTCAGCACCAACTGCCTCAACAGTATCAGAAGATCCTGGAGAGACTGAAAGTGCTGGAGAGGGAGATCTCAGGCGGGGCCATGGCTGTCGTGGCGGTCCTTCTCAACAGCAAGCTTTACGTTGCCAATGTCGGTGAGCTCCTTACTAGGGACCAGGAAGGAAGGGAGGTCAGCCTGGTGCTGGTATGCCTGCTGGCAGTCTGCTTTCCAGACCTGTCACTATTTTATTTTATGTTTATTTTTGAGACAGACTATGTATTTCAAGCTGGTTTTGAACTTACTGTGTAGCCCAGGCTGACCTCAAACTCATGGTGATCTCCTGCCTCCCCTTCCAAGTATTGGAATTATTGGTGTGTGCCACCAGTCTGGCTATCTGGACACTTTAGAGACAATTTGTCACATTTTCTCCTCACTCCATGGCCTTTATCACCCCAGCTGGAGGAACAGATGGGACAGAAGCAGGTGTGGCCTTGGGGAGTCACATCCTATATCTCAGTGGCCTCAGTAGCTACTGCTTTTAGAAGAGGTACCTGGCATGGAGGGTCCACTCTGCATGCTCATGAGTGGTGGCAAGCTGGGGACAGGGATATACAGATTTGCAGGCAAAAGAGGAGGCATCTGGGACCCAGAGAGGGGTATATACAGTGTGAATTCTCTGTAGAGACCCCACTAATGGCATCCCTCCCTCTTCCTCCTGACCTTAAGCTTTCATTAGGGAACAGTTCCCAAAATCAGAAAAGCAGATGAGTGGTGTTTAGTGAACCACCACATCCCATCTGGCACCAGTCTTTACCCACTATGGCCAGTCTGGTTTTGTCTGTGGCTCTTGGCCCCAGATTATTTTAAAGCAAACCCCAGACTTCATGGTATGATAACTGTAAAAATTTCAACATATACCTGTAGCAAAAGATTTCTTTTATTAAACTCATAATCCTGTGATTCCACTGTGCATGTGTAGCCTGATTCATTAATCTTACCAACTGCTCCGCACTGCTGGCTTAACCCTGTGGTGTCTATCTGGCTGGCGGCTCTCGTGCAGCGCATGTGTGAGATAGCTGCTTTCCTGGTCTCTCCAGCCAGTCCCATTCCTCACTGCTTGGTCTTTGCTCAGCTGCTGAAATTCTGTGCAGGTACAAACCGGGCACTTCTGTGCAAGTCTACAGTAGACGGACTGCAGGTGACTCAGCTGAACATGGACCACACAACCGAGAATGAGGATGAGCTCTTCCGCCTGTCACAGCTGGGTGAGCAGGGGGAGCCGGGCCAAGGGGTCAGTGGTGGTGGGGATCCTGTCCCCTGAACTCCCCCTGTGTTCTCCTTTGGTGGCCGGGACAGAGAACCATGTTGTGGAGGGGCTGTGAGCTTGTTTCTGGGATCAGCCACTTACTAATGGGTGACTTTCGGACTTACTCTGTGCCTCAGTTTCTACACTGTGTAATGTGGATAATAGTGACTTCCACTCAGGGTATTGTGAGGATTAAAAGAGTTAATATGTGTCCAGCGCTTCCTAGCGTACCCAGTACATGGTAGGTACTCATGATTACTCATGGGGACTAAGTGGCCAGAAATTATAGCTTGCCATGGCCGCACCCTGTGTTCCCGGATGTAGAAGCCTATGTGGAGCAGGCAGAGCTGCCCTGTAGTGCAGGGACAATGGGACTGAGGAGAGTTACTGATGGGGAGAGAGACTGGGGATGCCTGGTGATGTGGGGTTAGCTGCTCCCTGGCACCCTGCTCTTGTCTGTGTATTCTGTCAAGGGCTGGACACTCTTCTTTCTCTGGCAGGTTTGGATGCAGGAAAAATCAAGCAGGTGGGAATCATCTGTGGGCAAGAAAGCACTAGGCGCATTGGGGACTACAAGGTCAAGTATGGCTACACCGACATTGACCTTCTCAGGTAAGTGACCAGTGCAGCTGGTGCAGGGCACTTGGGGCAGGAGCAGTTTGCAGGTCCAGGGACACAGTGCAGTTGAAGCACTTTAGAAACCGAGTAGTTCAGCCCTTCCTTCCTCTTAAGAGAGCTGGGTTAGGTGGGGCTTGGGCCATCAGGCAGGAGTTGGGGACCTTGGTGCTAGGCTGACACATGAGGTGCTCAGCGTAGACAGAGCACGTGACCTTTGCCATTCTGACCCTGTAGCATCTGCCACCCCTACCCCCAGCTTCACTGTAGCAGCTGCCATCAGAAGACAGGGCTATCTGGTTTTCTTTCCTCTGACTAAGTCATGTATTTTACTCTACATTCTGGGTGTAGAACTTCCTCCCAGGAGAATCAGTGTCCACCTGGGGCCTTTCCACGCAAAGCCCTCCTTGCACTCTTTCCAGTGCCGCCAAGTCCAAACCGATTATCGCGGAGCCAGAAATCCACGGTGCACAGCCTCTGGATGGGGTGACCGGCTTCCTGGTGCTGATGTCTGAGGGGCTGTACAAGGCCCTGGAGGCCGCCCATGGGCCAGGGCAGGCCAACCAGGTGAGCTGGGCTGGGCAGAGCAGGTGATGGGAGCTTGGAGTCTCATTTGCTATCCCCAGACATCTTCTCTGAGTTCATAGCTGGGGCAGTGGAAATCAGAGCTCCAAAACGCCCATCTCATGCAGGTGGCCTGGGCCTATGCAGACCCCAGAAAGGCTGTGGCCTGCTTTGTGGTGTCCTGGCAGGGGACAGTCTGGGCCTTGTGTCCCAGCAGCGCTCTCAGGGCCTTCATACCCCTGCTCTGACCCTCTCCCCTGTAGCAGCGGTGGTGATACCTTCCCTTACGGGACTCCTGAGCCAGTAGGAGCAGCTTATCTCCCACACAGCAGATGGCACTCAGCATGACTCTCTGCAGTCACTTAGGATGTGGAAGGGAAGCTGCCTCCATCTGGCCTTGGGCTGCTGGATGGCTGAGATGTCACATAGGCTCACGGCTTTTACCCTTATGTCCTGTTATTCATCACAACAGCCTTGGAGGGTGGAGGGCCAGAGCTGGCTGCCATGTGGAACAGGACCTGGGGTTCCAGGGTTTACTCTCAAAGCTTAGAGGGGCAGCACTTGCTTCCACATGGAGTGAGGACGTGGGCACCAGAGTGACTGGCTGAGCCCATAGGACCAAGAACAGCTCCTTTCTCCTGGCCACCCTGCCTTTGTACCTCCAAGAGCCTGCAGTTAGCCCTCACAAAAGGGGCATTGTTTGTGCCACTAATCTTTTTTTGTGTGTGTGTGTGGTACCAGGGATTGAACTCAGGATGCTGCGCTTGCCAGGCAAGGGCTTATTCTATTGAGCTCTCTCCCTAGCCCCTGTGCCACTGATCTTGTAATCAGTATGATTTTCTTTGCTTTCTCTTTGATCTTCACAATAGAATTATCCAGTGGCTTTTAGTAAGTTCTAGAATATACTGACCAGTTGACTTCTGAGGGTGGAGATGCTGCTGCCTTCACTCCGTATACCCACCTCTTGACAAAATTCCTGGCGTATGGGAACTTACTGTAAGTTTGTTTCAGGAAAAAACGTTTACTAAGAACTACTTATACTGGGTTCTTAGTCCACCCATGTCTTACACAATCCTTATACTAATCCAGTAAGTTGGGTATTGTCCATTGAGAAGTGTACGAGCCAGCAATCAGATAGGATACAAGGTCACACACCTTTTCTAGTAAAAAAGTTCCAGGAAGATTATCTTGAATACCTTGTAAAGTTCAGGTTACTAACTTGGCTAACAGGAACTTCCTTCACCTGCTGGGCAGATGGCCCCTAAGTCTCTAACAGGGCTCTGGAGTTAAGGCCCTGTCCCTGAGCACCCCTCATTCCTCATTAGGGTCTCACTCCCTCCACCAGGAGATCGCCGCAATGATTGACACTGAGTTTGCCAAGCAGACCTCCATGGATGCAGTGGCCCAGGCCGTGGTGGACCGGGTGAAGCGCATCCACAGTGACACCTTTGCCAGTGGCGGGGAGCGTGCCAAGTTCTGTGTACGGCACGAGGACATGACTCTGCTGGTGCGGAACTTTGGCTACCCACTGGGGGAAATGAGCCAGCCCACGCCAAGCCCGGCCCCAGGTAAAAACACCTTAGAAAGGCGGTGCCCGGGAGCAAGCATGGGGTTGCTGCTTCCCTCCCAGAAGGAGGTCTGACTTCACATTGCTTTCAGTTGGGCTCTGACTTCTGGCCTCCCTGTGCTGCTTGCTGGGGGTTTTTTTGTTTTGTTTTGTTTTGTTTTTTCCTTTTGTCTGGAATATAAGGATGCTACCACTTGCTCTGGATCACCCCCGATCCACAAATAGTGGAGTCCCAGGGCCTGGTTGCCTGTTCCCCAGGCATGGCCTGAGATGCATTTTTGAGTCCTCATTAGCAACCCTAAAGACCAGACAAGGAAACTGCTAGCATGACGGGGCGTGGGTGAGGTTCGCAGCATGGACAGATGGTGGGGCCCCAGTATCTGCCCATTGTGGCCAGGGAAGATGTTGTTTATGTTCATTTTGTTTTCTTTTCCCCAGTATTGATTGAACCCAGAGCCTTTATACTGAGCTACTTAAACAACCCCTTTTTAAATTTTGAGATAGGAGCTAAGTTACTGAGTTGCCCAAACTGGGCTCAAACTTGCAGGCCTCCTGCCTCAGCCTCCCAGAGTGTGCAGGATGTCACCACCACAATGGGCTTTCTTTTATCATTATTAAATTATGTTACCTGCAAGCAGTGGTGATCAGTACCCATTCCTCTCAGTGCCCTGTCCCCACATAGCCTAGTATTGAAATCCTTAGCTCCTGAGAGCTGCATTTCATTTTTTTAAAATAAGCACATCTTGGGTTTGAGTATCACAGATGGGCATGCTTACCATGGACACCAGGGTGTCTTCGGCTCCTTGTTATTGTGACCATACTTCTATTGGGTTAGCCTCTGTAAGGGGAAGGCTGCACGAAGGTGGCCATGAGAGCCCTTTCATGGCAGCAGTGCTAGCCCTTGATCCTGTTCTTGCCTGGAGCACCAGTGGGCTTCCCTACAGAACGACCTCAGCAATCTGAAAGACTGCCCAGGGCAGTGCAGGGCTGCCCCACTCCACCCCTCAACCCAGGCCACACACCTTGGGGGGCCTCTCATATCCTGGCAGGTCCTGGCGCAGCACCATCCCCATGGTCTCTTTCCTCCCTCCCCACACCGTGCCTACTGCCTTCTTCCCCCCACAGCTTCGGGGGGCCGTGTGTACCCCGTGTCGGTGCCCTACTCAGGCGCCCAGAGCACCAGCAAGACCAGCGTGACCCTCTCCCTCGTCATGCCCTCTCAGGGCCAGATGGTCAATGGTGCCCACAGTGCTTCCACCCTGGATGAAGCCACCCCTACCCTCACCAAGTAAGTCCCACTGTGCTGGACACCAGCCCTGGGGGTTGGTGATGGTGTATGGGAGGCCCTTGGGTCTCAGACCTCTCAGACTGCCCACCTCATCCCTGGCTGAGGCCACCCCCCTTAGAAATGGGCCCAGGAAGGGATTGGTCCCAGCAGCTCATGGCACCTGGACCTGCGACAGGGTGGAGGTTTCGGGGGCACAGTGTTTGGGGAACAGGACCCCCAGCGTTCATCCAGTGGGAAAGTCCTCTTGTTCTTCCTCTTTATTCCCCATGTCACCCTCAGTGTGATAAAGGATGGCCCTCCCCAAGGCATCCGTGCTTGGGGACATCCCCTGGCACGTACTGGCTCATCAGAGCCTCTGTTTTCCAGCTTTAGTGTCAATTTCAGCTGCGAAGTGGCCTTTCTAGTTAAGGGCAGGCAGAGAATCTGTTCACATCCTGGGTGGGTCAGGCAGCCCTTGAGGTGCCAACTAGTGTGACAGGTCAGTGACCACCCACTCCCTCCCCTCACTTGTGTGGAATGCACACCCCACCCCCACCCCCCAAGCTCAGGATCTGGTTTCCACATTCCACCTCAGTACAGAAGTGTAGAATAATGGCAATGCCACACCCAGCCCGTCTGAAGGCAGTGAGCAGGATGTGGCCAATTAGAAGGGCTGGCAGGGAGGGAGCCGCCAGGGGCCTGCCTTCCCCTGCCGCCCAGCCGTGGAGGGGCAGAGTGGAAGGAGTTGCCCGGCTGCTGAGGGCCAAGATACCTCAAGCACAGTCCCAGCGCACAGGCAGGGTAGCCTCTCCTTACCCTGTTGACTGCCCCAGGAGGCCACCAGCTGTGTCCACAAAGCACAATGTGACCTGTGTAGTCCAGGGTGAGGCAGGCAGAACAGCCAGCATCCTTTGCCTGGCTCTCTGGGCTGCACTCTGGGCCCCTCCCCCATCCCAGGCCCTTGTGCTGGTCAGGGCTGGGAGTGGGCAGGACAGGGGCTAAGAGGCTGTGACACAGGGTGGGTGTCCAGGGGTCCCTGAGGACACAGTACCTGTGTCTCCCACTGGCCAGTGAGGGGAATGAGACAGAACGGCAAAGGGAGGTTTCCTGGCAGAAGTGACCTCACATGCCTGTGACCAGCAGTTGGCTTGGAGGGCCTGGTGGGTGCTCTGTAGCTGTGTGCTGCTCCTCAGGACTTGCTGAGAGGGTGGCTATTGTGGGTCTCTTGTTTTTTCAGTAGTCAGTCACCACAGACAGCTGTTCAACCCTAGAACTGAGGGTTCTGCTTAACATTTGACACTTTTAAACTGCCATGTATGCTAGTGCTTAAGAAGTACTTAAACATTTTATTCCTCCCTAAGGACATCTGGCCTGGTTGACATGAGGTCACCTTTACCAAAAAAAAATCCATGACCCAAGAGCCTGGTGGAGGCAGGCTGCTGTGTCCCCAGGCTGGAGGCTGAGGCCCTTGACCCACAGCCCTGACCTCTCCCTCCCCTTTGCCCACAGCCAGAGCCCCACACTGACCCTGCAGTCCACCAACACGCACACCCAGAGCAGCAGCTCCAGCTCTGATGGGGGCCTGTTCCGCGCCCGGCCAGCCCACTCACTGCCACCTGGTGAGGACGGCCGCGTCGAGCCCTATGTGGACTTCACAGAGTTCTACCGCCTCTGGAGCATGGACCATGGCGAGCAGAGTGTGATGACGGCGCCGTAGCCACAGGGAGGGAGTGTGGCCCGAGTTGGACTCTGTGCAGGACAAGCCTACTTTCCTGACTTCTGCCTGTGCCATGGAGACCTGGTGGGCCTATTTGTCCACACCTGGCCACGACACAGGACAGGAGGCCACCCGTGGGCAGTCTCAGGCCCTGATCATTCCTCAGAACAAGGGCCCACATATGGAAGCTGGGCTAGCCTGCCAGCCAAGAGTTCCTTCAATCACATGCAGCAGAGTGGAACAGGCCATCCTGGGGACCCAAGTGCCACAGGCCCAATAGACGCTGCTCTCTCAAGGCCACCCCTGCCTGCTGCTGTCTTACCTGAAATGGCCTGTGGCTGCTTCTCACACCCTCACCTCTGGACAGCAATTTCCCTTCCAGCCTCTCTGCCCCAAGATTCTGGCTTCACAGTAGAACCCAGATAGGCCTTGTCCCTGTCCCTGTTCAGTCACGATGTCCAGGAGGCCAGGGAATGGGTTGGCCTCTGAGATGGCCACAGGGGAGCAGGTCAGATGAAAAGGACAAGACAAGGGGTGGCCGGCAGCGCTGGCGAGTGAGGGGTGCTCAGCTGCAAAAAGGATGGGGCTCCTGGAGCACAGCTGCCCTGCAAGGGCGAGGGCTTTCTTGATCCGTGTCATGTTTACAAGCGTGCAAGCGAGGATTGGGCTGGCCAGGCCCTGAGTGGACCATTTGTCCTGTCCTTTGCTTTCAGTGGAGAGGGGCCATCAGAGCCACTGATGGTTTGCTGCTCCCACTTTCAGAGGACACGGGTCCAGGACACTTGCTCCTTGCCCAGGTCTCACTGTGTTCACGTGACACATAAGCCAGCGCTCACACCTGTGGCCTTCTCATCAGTACCGCGCTTGCTGGATTCTGCCCCAGCCACCCTGACCTACTTTGTCCCTCTGCAGAGTCACAGGCCCCTGCTTACCCCTCAGTCTCAGAATGCACTTCCCTGTTGCAGAGCTGCGCTCTTGTGGCGAAGTCACAGCATGAGCAAGGAAAAGCAGGTCCTGCTTGCGGGCTCCAGGTGCCCTCCACTGTGAGGCCACCTTGTCCTGCCACAAAGGCTCAGGAACGGGGGTTCTCCAGGAATGGCTCTGATGCTGTGTGGTCTCTAAAATAGAATCCTGTTTTTAATGCAGTGAAGTCGTACGTGGCAGTGTTAGGCGTGGTAGTGATAATGCCGTAACACTTGCACGGAGCAGTATCCTGGGAGGCAGCCATCTCTTGCTTTGCTTGGGAGGTTGAAGAACAAGGTCATCAAGCTGGTAGGTGGCTCCTGGCAGTGTCCCTGCTGCTACCCTTACCACACAAGGGGCAGCACAGGAGCCTTGCCCCTTCTGCAACCTGCCTGTGGCCCACAGTCACAGGGGGCACCAGGTCCCCTGTCCGTGCACAGTGGCAGGGCTGTCATGCTGCCCCTTGCTTCCTGAGCAAGTTGGTGGTGCCATGACTACCCAAGGCTCGGGTCCCCTGGGTGGGTGCCTTGCCCTCTCCCTGCTAGCCTTCTGTATTTGGCTGCCTGTGATTAAAGGATGTTCTATGAATAGTAGGCCATAGCACTGCCCTTCCTGGTGTCACCCTGCTAGGAGCATTGGATCAAACCCAAGCACCACCTCCGCTTGGAAACAAGCCAGGCGCTATTTGGCGCAGTCCACGGGTCACTGATATCCCTTCCCTTGTGCTAGGTGGAGACACTCAGCAGAGGGCTCTGCCTTTCATACTGCCTTTCAGGATATGTCCCCTCTTCATTCTCCAGCCATGCCCTAAAGTGTCCTGATGCCCACCACAGCCCCTAAATACCTATGGAGCGGGGTGACACCCAGCCCCCCCCCCCAAGGGCACACAGCATCCTATGAGATCTCACTGACACAAGCAGGCTTAGGTATGGTCCTAGTAGCCACCATCCAACCCCTAGGACCTCAGCTTCTCCCAGTGTCTGCTCTGTCTTAGCTATGGGGGTGGGGGGGGTGTGCACCAGGCCTGGTTTTGTGTCCCCTGTCCTTGGTCTTGGTATCACCTAGCCCTGTGCACCTATTGTGGCAACAGGTAGAACACCATTTTGGCCTCTTCATTTTCTTTTGGTGGAAGAGAGGCAGGGACCTTGAGGTAAGACACAGGAAATGACCCCAACAGCCAGGCAAACTGCCACGACCAGGTCACTGTTCCCAAGCTCTTGATGTCACACAGCAGACAGCTGACATTGGCCTCACTCACTCCCCATCCTTTGGCCTTTCCCTGGGTGGGAAAAACACTTCCCTGCAGCTGGATCAGACAGCTCGAGAAGCCCATCCAGTGCCTGTCCTCTCATCTGGAGAACCCAGTCGGTTGAGGCCCTGATCAGACCAGATGGGGCTAGGCTACAGAGCCCCTATGTGTGTTGGGAAGGCCGTGGCAGCCAGGGGACCCCACAGCGCCTTTGGGCTGTCAGGCTTTGCTCGGCCTCCAGGCCTGGTTGCTACTAACTTCCCGGGTGAGCCTGCCCTTTACTACTGTAGAGCAGACCCTCTGATGGGACACAGCCAGTCCCAGTGACAATGGTGGCAGATCCTTCTGGAAGGCCCTAGCAGCCTGACATTAAAGCACCGATTACATTCAGAGTGCTGCTTTCTTGTTGCTTAGATCTTGGCACAGGCACCACCACCCGAGGGAGGCATTTGGGCCTCGCACAGGCTCCAGCCCCAAGGTTGGTGCCAGGCTTGTAAGGGTCCTTCACATGCATGGTAGCGAGTGCAGGAGGCAGCATGCTTGGGCCTAGTGTTGGGGTTTTTGCCCACAAAATAAGGGTGCAACTCACTTCTTTATTAACTGCACCACTGTCTAGTGCAATCCTGTCATCAGAAGTGTGAGAGGTCAGATCTCCCCTGTCCTTTCATGTGGAGCTTGGGATAGGAACGAGGTACAGGAGCTAGGGCCGCAATGTGCCACAGGTGCCAGGCCAGTGCCCCCTGCAGCTTTATCTGGGAACCCAGGCGAGGCAGTGGGCGTGGTCCTTGCCTCTTCTCAGCCAAAGCCCAGATGGAGGCCTCTGGCCCTGCTCCAGAACGCTTCCTCTGACAAGTGTGTCTCTCATGACTCTTCCCTTCTGAGCGTCCTATTTTGAAACCAAGAACACAGATCATTGCTGATCCGGTGGGCTCATCCCACACAAAGGTGACGCCAGTTCCGAGCAGACAGGCACTTGACATTTCCACAAGCCTGGGTGGCCTGGTGGAAGGAAGGCAGATGACGCTGGCAGTCAGCACAGCCATGTCGCTGCCCGCTTATGGGTGCACCCCTGCCTGCAGATCCCCAGAGGATCCCAGACTGCAGGCTGGTTGCCCGGGCCAGCCTTCTCATACTGTTCCCCGGCTACAGAAGGCCCTCCACACACTGATGAAGCTCCTGGATTATCACTTCAACAGTCATCCCGGGGTCAGACGGTGGTGAGCTCAAGACCCTTGCGTGGCCCCAGCCTCCACCCAGCGTGCTGTGTGCAAAGCATTTGCCAGCGCTCTGGCTTCAGTTGCCGCACTCAGCCGTAGTGCAGCACCAGCCCTGAGCACTGTTTAAGAAATGTGAGGTGTGTGACATGGACAAATGCAGGAATTACCCAGGGGAGAAACTGCCCCACCCTAGCCGCCCGGAGTTTTGGGGTTGGTAAGAAACAAAATCCTTCATCAATTTATAGTCAGATCCATATCCCAGTGTTTTGGTCTTCTGGTACTAGGTACAGGAGCTGAGCTGTAGCCCCAGCCATTTTATTTATTTATTTTGAGACAGCGTCTCACTAAGTATTTCAGGCTGGCTTCCAACTTTGACTCCTCCTACCTCAGCCTCCTGAGTGGCTGGTGTTATAGGCATGCACAACTGCACCAAGTTCCCAGTGTTCATTTTAATACAAAAATAACTTTTTTTTCAAAAATAACATTTTATTACCATTACTCATTATCAAGTAAACAGGCATCACATGAATCCTAAAGGTTTGTGGATTCTACAGTAATGGGAATCGCAGGGCGCGGGCTGACTCACAGCAAGGACCCAGCTGGGGAAGGGACCACCCCATCAGGAAGGACTCTCCCGGCATGTGGACTTGGGGGGGAGGGGCTGTTGATGGGAGTTCATCTGACCTTGAGCCCCTGACACAGATGAGGGTCACACTACCAGCCCCAGCCTAGTCCTTTAACAACGAGTGGACAGCTGTTAACCCTGGATCCCACCTTGGGAGGGAGGCCAGAGTAGATGCCAGCAAGTCCCATGTGGCTTGTGCCTCCTGCCACTCCACCACAGGCCTTTTCTGACTTGGTGCCACCACAGTGTCTAACCCTGGGTGACTGTGGATGAAACCCGTACACTCTCTGATCTCAGCTCATGTCCAGAAGGTTTAGAGCTCAGCTTTATGTTAAAAACAAAAAAGTTGCCTGTAATCCAGCACTCGGGAGGCTGAGGCAAGACTGTTTTGACTTGGAGGGCAGCCTGGGCTCTATACTGAGACCCTCCCACAAAAATTGTTTCCTCCTGATTTTCCAGCACCTTTCAGGCCCAAGGTGGACTTGACACAATCCCTCAAGGCCAGAAGAACTTGCTAGAGCATCCCTGCTCTCCCCAGCGAAGAAAGGAAGAGCTTACACCAAGTCCTTCTGCTGGCTAAAGCTGGCCTGAGGTTTTGTCACCTAACCTGACTCACCCACTGGGATCGGGGGCCAGGAGGGCACCAAGCCCTTCCCGACACAGCAGGAACCAGCGTGGCCTTGTCCCAGAGGAGCTGGAGACAGTGGTGCCCAGCCAAGATGAAGGAGGGGGCTCCTAGAAGTTGCTGGAAGTGGGAGGTGGCAAAGGCCCACACCCAGTGGGAGGTGACAGGGAGTAGGGCTGGGGAGACCTGGGGGAGCCAGCACAGTTTTTTTAGCAGGAAGCAAGGGGCTGAGCAGGGGGTCAGGAGGAGGGGAATGGGAGGCAGGGGTGCTGTTGCATTCATTGAGAGGTCCCAGCCCCTCAGCCCAGAAAGTGACCTGCACACAGCAGCTTCTCTGTGCTAGAAAGGCCCCCCTGGGTCCTTGCACCCCACTTGACCCAGCTACCACCCCGCTTCCAGACCTGGGCCTGGACAGGATCCTTCATGCACCTGGGCCTTTGCAGATGCTTTACTGGCTGAAACCTGCCTACCCTGCAGGATCTAGCCTAGTGCCACCTCACTCCCCAAGGGCCCTGCACCCAGAGAGCCCAGACAGCCCTCACTGGTTCCTGCCACGTGGATGCCACGTGGATGCCACGTGGATTGCAGGGAACCGAGGCTTCTGCTGGAATTCCCACACGAGGACCAAGCAAAGGCCGTCAACACAAACAGGCTCTGGCTTGCACATCAAGTAACCAACAAGATCCAGGAACATAATTTTTTTTTTTTTTTTTTTTTTCCTGGTGGAACCGGGGGTTGAACTCCAGCCCTTGCACTTGCCAGGGAAGTGCTTATTCCACTGAGCCATCTCCCTGGCCCCCAGAATTTTTGCATCATAATCAAATAGCAAATTCAAGGAGTTTCAAAACAGTTGAGTGCCAAGATAGAGAGTCTGGTTGATCCTAGGCCCTGGGGGGACCCAGCAAAGGAGGGTTTTGTGGCGCCCAGTGGAGCTGTACCCTGAAGAAAGGTCTTTGGCTCCCTTGGGACAGCTGAGAGCTCAAGTTATGGATGGCCCTGGCCGGGGGCACAGTGCACTGTGACTTCTGAGGGGCTGAATATTGAAGACTGTGCTTTCAGGGTTGGTGTAAAGGTTAATGTATTAACATTCTAAAAGTCTTCTTCAAAAGCTCTTTTTTGGGGTCGGGGAGATGGCTCAGTGGAATAAGTGCTTCCCTGGCAAGCACATGGCCTGAGTTTAATCCCCGGTTCCACAAAAAAAAAAAAAAAAAAAAAAAGCTCTTTTTTTCAGCTAGGCATGGTGGCACACGCCAGTAATCCCAGCACTCGGGAGGCTAAGACAGGAGGATCGTTGTGAGTTTGAGACCAGCCTGGGCTACAAAGTGAGCTCAAGGCCAGCCTGAGCTGCATAGGAAGACCCTGTCTCAAAAAGACAGAAAAAAAAAAGTTCTTTTTCAACCAGGAGTATAGTGGCACAGTACCTACCTCACCAGTGTAAGGTCCTAAATTCAATTGTGGGTACCAAAAAGACCAACTAACAACTGATCTCTCAGTCTTAAGAACACTTGGCGGGGCATGGTGGTATTACCCCAGCATTTAGGAGGCTGAGAGTTCAAGGGCAGCCTGGGTTATATAGTGAGCTCAAAGCCAGCTGGGACTACAAGGTGAGACCCTGTCTCAAAAAGCAAAGCAAAAATAAATAAATGTAGATCTTTTTCTGATTTAAAAGAAAGTAAACATTTCCATAGGCCCTGAGTGTGGATTCAATAACAAGTCAAGAGAAACCCAGAGACAGAAAGAGAGAACCCAGGGCCTTCACACTAAGCTACATCTACAGCCCTTACTTTTTAAAATTTTGAGTCAGGGTCTCATTAAGTTCTCACGTTTCCTAGGCTGGCCTTGAACTCATGACCCTCCTGCCTGAGTCTTCCCCCAGTGCTGGGATCATAGACGTGCACCAGCAAGCCTTGTTCCCTAGACCCCCTCTCTCCAAGCCTTCGTCCACGCTGACTCTTCCTTCCCAGGGTGCTGGTGCTGGCCTGAGTGGCCAGTCTGCAGGCTGCCCTTTGAGGATGCAGAGTGGGCAGGGGCAGGAAGGACTCTGGAGCGCTGAGCGGAGGAGCCGGGGTTCCACCAGGTGCAGCTGCTCCTGGAGGCTGGGTCGTGATGTGATGGCCGTGCAGCCGGGCTGAGGAGAGCCTCGTGGCTGACCGGTCTTGGAAGCTTCCCAGAGCAGGTGGATTTTGGAACAGGATGGGAGCATCTCTGAAGACAGACAGAGGCTCCCAGGGCTGTCAGGCTGGTCTCACAAGGCCAGCTTTGCCATACCGATGGCAGGCTGTGTTTGCGCATAGAGTTTTCTTCCAAAAAGCCCACTAAACCTATAGAAAGGGGCATGTTCCCTTTCTCTCCCTCCTTCCTTCCCTCCCTCCCTCTTTTCTTCCC